CCCGGGCGCCGGGTGGCCGTGTGGGGCGAGCGCGGCCGGGCCCTCGGGGCCTGGGGTCGCGCACGGGTAGGGAGTCCCCAACTCCGCGGGAGCCGGGCGCGCCGCGGAGCGGTAGCCGCGCCGAGTGAGTTCTTTCCTGCCGTCCTCTTAGTAAACGTCGGGCGAGGCTCGGTGCCGTGGCTTAGAGGTCACCCTCTGGAGGTTTCGGTGAAACCTGGAGGGAAGGAGCCGGGGCCCGGAGTCGCGCCTCGGGAGCCAGCTCGGCCCTTCGTGGCGTGCGTGTCGGGGAGACCACGGTGCCCTCCGCGTTGACAGCTCGCCCCCGCCGCTCGGGGAGAAGCCGGCTGCAGGGCTGGACAAGTGATGGTCCAGGTGGAATCTGCAGCGCGTCAAGAGCTGCCGCTTGTTATGGGATTAAAAACCAAACTGTACTGGCCAAGATCTTGAAAAACAGTAGCGCCGAGTTAATCGGGCAGTTCAGTTTCACGAGGCTGTTTGTTGCCCATCCCAACGCTACCTGTTAAGACATCTTGCTACCCCCAACTCTTTCTTTCAGCTTACATGGGAAAAGCCATGTAGTCTTTTGCTGTGGAATGATTGCATAATTGGAGGAGAGGCCGATAAGAGGATTAAAACAAAACTGTTCTATTGTAAATCTACGGAAAGACCCACTTCTGGTTTGGGCACTTATTTTGTTGTTCAGGCAGGTTTTATTATTATTATTATTTTTTAGTGGTAAATGACAAATCAAGGGGAAAACAGGCAGAATAGTTTGCAGATCATCGTAGTAAATATTTGATACTGTTAAATATTTCACCAGCTTTATGGGGCGTTGTTCTGTTAACATGTGGTATTTATTTACCAGTACTGCGCATTTTGAGAGGACTTTTTGTTTGGACATTGTATTTAGAATCTGAAGCAATCCTAAAGCCTTTGTGGAATTTGTAGTAATAAACTTCACAGTTACACAATTTTCCTGCAGGAATGTATTTATTACTGTTAGAAGAAAAATCTGATTATCTTATTTCAGCACAATAATGCTGTGTATTAATGCATACTTCTGTGAGCCAAAGTGTTTGATGTAACTCTTCTTTCTGTGTTTCCCAAACTAACTCGTAGGCATCCATCTCTCTGCCAAGATGGCTATTTGGTGTTTAGCTGCTTCGTTTCTAATTAGTGAGGTTTCTAACCAGATCCATTTGTATTTTTTGAATTACAGTAGTGTAGTTATTCATATAACTCCATTTAATGTTCTTGACCTTTGACTTTATCTACACCTTTAATCTCCAGCACACACTTTACAAATACGTATTTTTTAAAATTAAGAAATGTGTAGAAATAGTTCACTCATTTTTTGGTATGGCAGAACAGAAACTTGTAATTTGCAGTGGTTTTATGTGCTGCAGGTGTCACTGAACAAATTAGTAAAGTCAGACTAACGAAGAGTCACTTAATTTTCACTTCACTAGGCATGGCTTTTAAGCAAGTGATTCTACTTTTCTGAGCTTATTGTATATATTTGTACATGAAATAGCATGAGGTAGAAATGTATCAAATGGCCAGTATTTGGCTACTTTACATATTTTAGTTTAATAATGGGGTTCATAATGATGGGGTGAAGATTTAATGAGGCATTCTATGTGAAATGTGGGGGAGGGAAGAAGGAGCAAACACTCATTGAGTGTGTCCTGCCCTGTGCTTGCTGTTTTTAAGGGTAGTTTGATTCTAGTCCTCAGGATGTTCCTTGGATGTAGGTGGTTTGTCAGATTTTACAGATTAGGAAGTTGAGGTATGGAGAATTGAAATAACTTGACAGTACTTCATTAACTAGCTTTGGCCATGTTCTGTAGCAGGTTAATGGCAAAGTCAGGATTAAAAACTATGTGGCTGTCCCAGATGGAATTCTTGACACTTGTTTCTTGTGTTACTGGTTTGCATATTCTGAAAAAGAGCTTCATACTTAAAAGGAAGAATACAGATGAAAGATAGTGTTATTTGTGTTTCTGAGTAAAAATACTCAAGGTTTCTCATGATGATGGTACTAGCACTGCTGCTTCCCTTATTGAGTCTGCTGCTTCTCCTGTGCCAAGGCCTGCTAAGGCCTGGTCTAAGCACTATCGAAACTTACTACCCAGCAAGCTAGGAAGTAGGTCATATTTTATTCCATGTTATGATTGAGAAAATTGAGACACGGAGATGTTATGTCGCCTGTCCAAGGTCATAATTAAGCCATAGGCCTAAATTAGAAATAAAGCAGTTGTCCTTAGTACCAGTGCTTTTACACACTGCATTCCTATTGCTCGTTAAGTTATATGGCTAAAGAATTGCTGGCTCCTAATCGCTGCACCATTCTGTCATGTGTAGATTGTAATCCTATAGAGCTGTTTTCAATGTAGTTTTTTTGAGGTGCTTAATATTAGTATAGTATTTAATTCTCATCATCAGAAGTTTTAAAAATTATTCATTGAACATCTACTCCACAAGTCTGGATGTTAAAGGAAAATACTCATAAAGCATCTGGAAGGTGGAGATATATACATTCTTCTTCTTCTGCGGCTGCTGCTGCTGCTGCTGCTGCTGCTTCATCTTCATGGTCTTCTCCCCTTCCCCTCCTCTCCCCTCCCTTCTCCTCCTCCTCCTGCTCCCACCCTCCCCTTATCCTCCCCTCCTCCTTTCTGTCTTCCTCCTTCCAGAATCCAGAGCCTTTGCACTAAGCTACATGCTCAGCCCTTATTTATTTTTTGTATGGAGTCAGGGCCTCACTATGTTGCCCAGCCTGGGCTCAGACTTACTCTCTTCCTCCCAGAATGCTGGAATTACAGGTATGTGCCACCATGGCGGGCTTCCTATGCCTTATGTGTGTTTCTCAAAACTTTGCATAGACTTATTTCTGAATTTTTATTAGTGCATGTTTGCAGTACATAATGGTTACACTCATAAAGCATCTGGAAGAGGGGAAGTGGTATGGGTGTGTAAAACAACTTGTTTTTACTCCCCTTTCCCCTCTCCCAGCTCGCCTCCCTTCAGCTTTGCATGCATTTTAATGTGTGCTAAATGAAGCAGAGAGCTAGAATTGTTGAGTAGTAGAGAGGAAGAATGAGGAGTAGGTAGAGATATTTATGCATTGATATAATGAGGGAAAAATTTTAAAATGTTCTCAGTATAGTTTTTCAAACTAAACTTTTATCCAGTAAAATTCTGGTTACAATGCAGCTCAACCAAGATCAGTAAATTGGTTACTATAGTTTTAACATCCTAAAAATAAAATACAAAATTTTAAAAGCTTTTTTCTACATGTGTCCCACTTTCTGTACCAAGTAGTACGTTTTCCCCTTTATGCTGTGTTTATCCAGCCAATGAGTATTTCAATGCCTACTGAATATTTAACTAATATTTATTTTTGCATGTGCAGAATAGGCTTTCACTATTAAAAATGCAGGAAATTTTTATATTTCTGTTCCAAAGATTTGTAATTAATACAATGAAATATTAACTTGTAAGTTCAGAACATTTTGCAACCATCCTAACTAGAACAATCTTTCATAACTAAAATCTCAGATTGTACATTCAAGAGGAATTATTAAATGGAGATTAATGTATGGGCTATTTTAATAAATGTGGGATGGTTGTGTGTGTTAACCACTTGATTGATTCTTTTTTCTTGGGTTACTAATTAAATGCATACTTGTAAACATGGACTACTTCTTAAAATGTAAATATGACTTTTCTTGTTATAACTAAAGTGTTAGTTTGGAAAGCCAGCTTTAAAATTATAGTAGAATTATATTATTTTTTCTTTGTTGTGTGTGTGATATTGGGGATTGAACTCAGGACCTTGTACTTGCCAGGCAGGCTCTTATGCTGCTGAGCTATCTCCCCAGCCTAGATTTTATATATTTTCTTTTTCTTTTTATGTAGCATTTTTGGAGGGCATTCTAGTTACGGAAAATTTAAAGTAAACAGACACAACAGCAGTTGAACCTCAGAATTCCCAATATCTTGCCCAGTGTCCATCAATACAGGTTAGTTTATCCCATCTACCTAATTCCCCTCCTAAATTTTTTGAAGCAAATTGTAAGCATTGTGTAATTTCATCTTTAAATATTTCAGTGATTTTCTAAAAGAAAATGGAAAAACTTTAAAAAGCCGCTAATGTCTTAGTATCAAATATACCATCTATTCCTTTTTCATTTAAAAAATTAATTGACACATAAATATAAATATCTGTGGGATATAGTAATATTCGGTACATATATGCAGTGTATAGTGATCAGATCAGAGTAGTTGATATTCTAACACCTCAGATATTTATTACTTTATTTCGTTCTTTTGGGAATGTGCCAGTTACACTATTTTGAATACATACAATTGTCATTGATGGCTATTTTATTGTATTAGAGAACATTGGAAATAATTCCTGGTCTGTCTAGTACTGGTTAACTGTCTTCTCTGCAAACTGACTAACCCTTCCCAGCCTCTGAATGTTCCCATTCCTTCCGACCTGCCATTTCTATTTCCATGTTTTTTCATTCTTTTCATTTCCGGTTCATTGCCCGTGAATGAACCTGGCAGGATGGCCCTGTGATTCCAGTACTCTAGTAGGCTGAATTAGGAGGATCACAAATTCAAATGTAGCCTGGGAAATTTAGTAACTTAATGTGGTCCTGTCTAAAAAAAAAAAAAATAAATAAATAAAAAATAAAAATAAATAAATAAATAAATAAAAGATTGAGGCTGAAGCGCCAGGCAGAGATTCTGGACTCAGTCCCCTGTATTACCAAAACCAAACCAAACCAAAACTAAACCCCCCCCCCAAAAAAAAAAAAAAAACAAAAAAACCCCACAAAAAACTCCAAACAAACAACACCCCCCAGAAACAAAAACCAATTCCCCCAAAACAAAAACCCACAAGCCAACCTTGACCTTAGTAATCTCATGTGTTGCTTGTTGCAGTAACCTTTTAACCAATACCGCTAGTTTGCTTTCTAAAGACTGCTGCCTTGGGATTCATTTTTCTAAGGTTTATGTTACATTTCTGCCTTGTAAGATGAAGTTCTGACCATCTTTGCAGAATAAACTCCAAGCAACCTTTCCATGTTAAGTGAGGCTTTTGATGGTCTGTCACTTAGCCTGATTTTGTTACTTTTTGTTACTGTAGTGCCAGACCCTTATCCCCTGTCCTGTTTTTCCTGTGTTGCCAGTCTGTTGCAGTCCTATTCATCATTTAAACCGAAGTTACAATTTACTTTTCCTTGAATCCACCTATTTCCTTCTTCTCTTCCCATACCCTTGGGGTAATCCCCAGGTGATTCATAGTAGGAGGTGTGTCGTCTCTTTGATCTATTTGCACCTGTATTCTTAGACCTTAGTCCCAGGGTTTTCCCTAGGAGTTGGAAGCTGGCAGTCATCCTTCTACTAGGAAAAAAAAGATCATATATAAAGTAAATTAATAAATACTGTGATAAAGGCCTTTAAGGAAGTGAATTGATGGAATTTGTGTCTCTTTAATTCAGTATACACTACTAAAAGTAGCAGGCTAATTTTTATTGTCGGGAGCTGTTTCTTCCATAATTCTTTCCAAATTAGAAAGTCACTTAGGAATTAAAAATGCATCTGGACC